CTTCCAGATGTTCTGCAGTAAAACAATGTTTTAAATGGGCTGATGTCTTTCATTTAAATCATTTACAGTCTATTGGGAGATAAAACCAATCAGATGACACAGGGGCTCACTTGCCCTGATCTCCTCTGCCATCGTCTTCTCGTCATCGGTCAGCTCCACACTGGCGCTTTCTCCGGAAGAGAAATATTTGGAAGCAGGAATCATTTTCCCATCTTCAAACTGCAGGTTCTTCACTAGGAGCTGTGGCACAAACAGTAAAGATGAAACAGGGCGTGCTGGCAGTGCATTTGATTTAGTCAGCTGTGTTTGAGTTAACAGAGTTCACCGTCTGATAGCTAATAGAGGCACCAACACACTCATGCAGCTCGGCCTTTGTTTGCTCTCAGTTATTTGTTTTATCAGGTCACTCACAGCTTTGCCGTCAGTTCCATACAGGACGAGCCCGTTTTTGGCGACACGAGCAGCCTGAGAAGCCCCCTCGATGTCCAGTGGCTGGCCCTCGGGTACAGACCCCCCCAACATGGAGGAGCCATAAAGGGTCACAGACTGAGGAAAGACCCAGAGAAGATTTTAAAATACATCCAGAGTGTTTGGTGTTATCTTTGCTCAGTCATTCTGGAAAACACACCTGGCCATCGATGACCGTCCAAGCACCGGGGACTTTGTCGTGGCCACGGATCCAGTTGTGGATCGCCTCGGCTGGCTGTGCCAGATTCACCTGGGGGACACAAGAAGAAGCCTGTGTAAACAGTGCCTGAGCTACGTTTCCCAGAAAGAGAAGGAAGGTCAGCTGACGGCCTCCGATTAAGCAACAGGTGGAAAAATGATGCTAGAAAACGAGACGAGAATAGCACATTTGTGATAGCTGCAAGCAAACATCTCTCCATGTGACAAATCAGGAAGCAGCTAAGATCGGCTCCACCTCGCTCTTTCACGTTACAGGGAGATCCACCCCAAACCAGTCCGAGCTGCTCACTGGTGCAGCTAATAGGAAATTTCCAGAGAGAGTTATCACTCTGAGCAGCTGTTCAGAGTACGAGCTGCATATGTAAAGAGTCGTATAAATGACAGACTCTATCAGTGTTTCTTGTCAGCTATTATAAAGCCGAACAACCTGACTCATGCACAGTTGTTGTGCAGGAATAATATCCAGACCGTCATTTTGAAGGTCTGGATACGCCCCTGATGGTAATCCAGACCCGATGCACGTTCCTGACGTTCACCTTGGCGTTGGATTTCTTCTGAATGCCTTCATAGCTCGCTCCTTCCTCTGGCTGAGGGGTCCGAGGGGCTTTTCCATCAGCGATGAGCTGCACAGACTCCACCTGCACCAAGAAACAGAGTCCAGGTGACAGCTCAGTGTTTCAAACACAAGCACAAAAATGTAGGTTTAGATGCTGAAGGTCCAAATGATTAGAACGAGTCCTTTTCATTTACTGAGGTCCATGTGATTACCATAGCCTTGATGCCCCCGGGGAAGAGGAAGCGGTTGTACAGCGTGTCCACAGTGTCATTGGGCTCGACATCACACTCTCGCTGCAGCAGGATGGGTCCGGTATCCAGTCCATCGTCAGCCCAGAACACTGTGAAGCCGGCTTTCTTATCTCCATGGATCAGAGTCCTGGTGACATATAAAAGGGAAACAAAGAGCAAGAGCTGTGTCATTAAACATTTATATTCAGAACAGATAAAGGCTATAAAGTAGACCATTACAGTGCACAAAAAGTCCATCTTGAAACCGGAAAACACAATCAGGGAGCCTTTAAAGGTGCAATACAGAGAAAGTGTGGGGAGAAGAGATTGTTAAGGTTGTACGGGCAACAGGTTTCTTATTAAAGGCAACTCATTGACTGTGTGACGTGACAGTTGACCTGCATGACAACTTTAACCATAAAGGTTCCACACAGAGACATATTTGATTATCTTTATTGTTTCAGGTGAGCATTTCTGGTAAACTGGCTCGTGCTCAGTTTGAAGTATCAGAGGCAGACAGGAGAGCCTCTGCACGCAAAGAAAGCCAACCAGGAAGGGAAGTTATGGAAGAATTCCATAATGAGGATGGTTTTATGACACACCACTCCACCACCAGCAAGCCCATAGCTTTTTATGACAGTCAAACCAGGAAACATCTACCCAACTGTGTTGTTCTGTTACAGATACATGCAGAGGTGCCCAGCTGTTGTTACCATACTTTACTGCCTGCTGAAATGTTACTAAGAAAATATTCTCAACAGTTCCTTAAAACGATCGCTTTAATCAAAGTATGTTTATACGTAACTGCATTTATAGTTGCACTGAACAGTTTGAGCTTAGACGGTTCTTAGCTAGCAGTCTTTGCTAAGTTAAAGAAACTCATGGGAAAGACATCTGCAGACATCTGAAAGCAACACATTCATGCTCCTGTTGAGCCAGCATTACATCATGGTGAGTCTCGGCCTGTAACTGTCTCTGTGCTCTTTGTTGATCACTGATGTGCTGAAACCTCACTTAACACGAGAGTTTGGGGTTTTTCATGAAGGAGGAGCTTGGAGACTTTTCCTTTTTTGGGTTGAGATTCGTTGTCGGAAGTAGAAGAGATAAGAAAGCCAGGCTGCTTCGAGTTGGAGGTCAAACATCGCAGGTTTAAACCTACCAGACCAACAGATAATTACACGTGTCAGTTATTCATGGACTGTTTGCATGTTGGAGCCAAAGCTTCAGCACTGCTGGGAGTCCATACAGGCAAAGGTGGGCCAATCACATGCAAAGACAGACTGGGATCGTACCATTACGTAAGGAAGGACGGGGGAAGACGTTCCGAAGGTTGCAGGTGTTTTGGCAAAGGCCAGGTGCACAAAGAGACGGATGAGTGTGTAAATGAGTCTCACATGTGCGCTTGAAGCCATTTATAATTCTTAACGTGTTTGATCTCTGCAAAAAAGCACAAGAATAAATTTGGGACTTTTAACTGTATCTTCATGAGTTTTACAGCTTTTCCTACTGATAAACCCCTCCCACACGGCCATTCATGCTAAACAAGGCAATTAACAACAACAATTAACCTGTTGTTTATTGTTTGGGAGCACATCGGGTTTAATGGGATGTACCGTCAGATCTGTTATGTAAATATAGACGTGTGGTTTCCACAGAAATGTGAGAATCTCAGCTGAAAGCTAATAAACCAATTTCATCAACAGATCAAGGAGCAGGCAAACAGCTTCTGCAGAAACATGTAATCAGAATACTTTATGGAAACAAAGTGTGGATCCCTTTGCTTCCATCACGACAATAATCGCACTTCCTGCACAGCTCTCTCTCAGTGTGCTCTGAGACCAGTTTCCCATCAACAATCGATGGAGATACCTTCTGCCTTGTTGGGATCACTCGTTGTTGGTCGCTCTGTGTCTGTTGGGTCTTTCCCCCAAAATAACCTCTGACAAGAACGGCTCATTTCTTAAGCCTTCCTGTCTTTTGATGGGACAGATGATAATATTTATATTCCTTATTATTAAATCCACTTTGTTCAGTGTACCAGTATCACCAGCATATCTCAGGCTGTCAAACAAACTCCTTTTGAACCCTCTTCTTTCTCACCAATTGATTGCTGAGGCTCCTCTGTGCAGGGGCAGGATGGAGGGGTGGTAGATGATGGAGCCATGCTTTGGGTGGTCGATGACGTTCATGGGGATGAACTGTGAGCAGAAGGGCATGACATTGAGCTCAGCACCCACCGCCTTGTAGGCATCCACCACTTCTGGGATGGGTTTCCCCTTAACCCGCCACCGTGGGAATTTGAACACAGGCGTCCCCTCTTTTTCTGCCGCCACCGCTAAGAGAAAAGAGGACATTTTAGGGATGCAGTCCTGAACGCCACGGCTTCATGGAGGTCCTGAGTAATGAGCTAAAGGTCTAAATGTATGTCAGAAATTAAATACTACAAGTTTAGATAATACAAAGAGTATAAAATGGATTAAATCAGACAACGAATGAGAGGATGAGCGGGCTGCAAAGTGGCTTGCAGTTACACAGCTACTGTGGCAGGCAAAGTGTTTACAAAATATGTCTTTGAAGAGATTTTGATGCACAGAAGGACATCAGATAATCTGTAAGGAGTGAAAATTAACTTCCACTGAGCCAGAAACAAACAGGCTGGAATAACTGGAGAAGACAGCACTGAAGGCAGAGCTCAAGATTTAGGAAAACCACCGTCTGAAGACACTGTAAGTACATAATATTTTCAATCAGTTTATTTTAAACTGTGACCAACGATATATTTTAATTTGATGTCAACCTTCATTTAAATATAAACCCTTTTGTTTTTAGCTGAAGAATCAAATAAAGAGATGGGAAGTGACATGGAACAAATGCAGCTGCCGTGGGAACAGAGGAACAGGTGGAGTTTAAAAATGAGGATAAAAAGATGCTGCGTCGTGTAACAGGGACACTGCTGCACTGGACTTATTGATCGTTCAACATTAACCCTTAAAAAGTCATTTTTCCTGATTAGATGTAAAAACATAAATATCAACTTGCTACACCAGAGACCTTTTACTTTTAAAATTAATTCCCTAACATATATCATGTCATTTATTTATTTAAACTTGGCTTTAAAGGCCCTTGAAGGCAATTTGAGATATTTCAATTTGCATTTGTGATCCTACAGATTATGCAAACAGTGATCGTCAGAGGCTCTTTTGCTCCTGGGCATTTGCCAACTTTGTCCCGCTGCTAATCTAGCACTAGCAAAGATTAGATAACACTAACTGAAATCAACTTGTGGAGACTTGAAAGCTGCCTGAGAAGGGTGACATATCAAAATTCATACATACTTGTTGTACATGCAATGAACTGCTAAGGATAATATATAAAAATGTTTAAGTGGCTTTGTGTGAAGATGCTTCAAAAAAAGAAAGAAGAAGAAACAGAGAGACTAGCAGTGAGGTGTCGAGGACTCTTTACACTGCAACACAGCCTGTAATAAGTGCACCAGGTAAGCATGAGTACTCCCCTTCAGTCCTAAATCATGCAGACGCCACAGGATGCTAACAACGACACCACAAACTCTTATGAAAACTACTTCTGCCCCAAAGGATCCTTTAGTCTTCGTCCCCCCAACCCTAACTGGTCGCGGCAGACTGCGACCCCTCCATGAGCCTGGTGCTGTCAGAGCTTTCTTCCTATTTCTTCCTACTATACTATATTATAATATCAAGCACCTTGAGGAGACTTTTGTCGTGATTTGGTGCTATGTAAGTCAAATTGAACTGAAAAACTCAAACATATACAAACAGTGGGATGATGCAATGTAGAGATCTGCTCCAGGTTATGAATCATAGAAGAAGAAATGAAGTTTTCAACAACAGGAGGACGAGGTGCAGAGGCCAGGAGGCAGCAGATGATGCTCCGTGGTGAGACGGCATCACCAAAGCGCACCCTCCCTGTTGCAGACGTTTCACCTCAGAGCTGCATCTCTGGGCCACACAGGGCCTCTCCTCACAGACAATGGAGCCCCTATCCCGCAACTAATGCAGAATAAAGGCCCGTCTTTGTCCAGGAGCACTGCAGTCAACACGCATCTACCTCAGCTGCAGCACAGGCCTCTGCTGACCCACAGTTAGTACCAGGGACAGAGCTTCACCTACAGGCTGTTATTAGTTTTATGCAGATTCTAATTTTAATCTCTTTTATTTGTAATGTTATGTGTGATTTCAAAGTTTACACAGTCTGATTAACACTGAAGTTTAAATAGTAGTGCTGCTGTCACGTACAAGCATCTAAATGTTTAATGATCTAATCAGGGGCGAGGAAGTTTCCCTATTTGCAATAATAACTGAAAGGAGCAGCAGAGCCTGCTCTTCATTTGAATTTATTACAGCACATTATTTTGATTTTACAGCCCACGTTTGTCGTAGTCTCAGCTGAACATTTGGCACTGCTAAATAGGGCTGTTTGATATAACTATATATATCTGATGACGATATAAAAACGTCTATCGTTTCATTTTACGCTGTCGTTTGTTTCGTGGTGTCGCAAAATAAACTGTTTACAGCAATATTTTTCATGTTTTGATGTCACTGTAGTTATTATTAATTTCTTAAAGTTCTCTCTTATATTTAATAAACCACACTACGGACAGACAAGCGCCTGTTTTTATGCGTTGTCGTTAGCAACAACGATGGTAACACCATCGTGTGTCCGCTTGTTTATGTTCCACATAAACCTTTCACAATAAAGCTCAAGATCCTGTTGAGACTTTTCAAAATAAACGGAATCACGTGAAAGAGCAGCTGGAAACACTTCATGCAAGTCGAGCTGCCTGAGATTCACAGAAGTTACAGAAAATGTTACATTTTTGTGATTTATGTCGTTATCAGGACGATAGATGTTTTATATCGGGATATGAGACTTTGGTCATATCGCACAGCCCTACTGCTAAACTACCTACTCAGCACCAAACAGACGAAAACACAACTGAAGAGCTCAGGAATTAAAAGCTAGAACTAGACCTGTATTCTTAAGGTGGATCCAAACACCTCTTTTAGATAAAGTTTGTTCATGTAACCCATAATTAAGTTCCTCCACTTCTACAAAGTGTGATACAAACTGACTTAAACCTTTGTGGCGAGGCTCTTTGAAAGGCCACGACTCTGTTAGCGGTTGTGCGAGAGACAAAATTCAAAGTGTTTCAAAAAGAAAACAGGTTTTATGGGGATATTATTCAGCAGCACAAAGCCTTCACAAGAGTCTGAAAACAGGCAGAAATGCAGCTCTGGTTAGATTTCTAAAGGTTCCTATAAGATGAGAATTAATTTGTAGTTTTACGGCCAAAATGACAAAACAAGCCTTTTTGATTCTTGGGGTGATAATGAAACATTTCCTTGTAGAACACAACGCTTTTCCATCGTTCTTAGGTGTTTATTTTACCAACTGAAGAAGTAGTGACTCCAAATGCCCCACTATTAAAAATAATAACAGCAAACTGGGAAGAAGACAGCACTGTTGAAGGTTTGGTATCTGACATGTCAGAGAGAAACCTTGTGAATGAACAGGAAACTTACCCAGGGGGTCAGCCTTGCCATCCTTGTCAGGGACCGTGAACACACCCACCACCTTGTGCCCCTGCTTCCTCAGGTTGCTGTAGACCTCCTGACCAAACAGGCTCTGCCCAATAATTGCTAGCTTTAACTTGTTCTGGTAATGATGCTGTAAAGGGAGCGAAAACACAAGTTTCAGCTTCACTGAAAGCATATCAGACATACTGGAAACACTGCAAATGCTCATGCCGAGTCTTTAGAGTTTAGACACTCTTCACTACAGTTCAATCGATTTTATGCAACTTCCAGTAAGCAGTTATTTTACTTTGACCTACAGTGCTGTGCAAAGGTCTTAAGCCACACCTCTTTTCTCTTCGAACTGGCAAAAATAGTTGTAACAAATTTGTAAACATAAATAGAAAAAAACAGTTGTGTGGAAGAAACAGGAAGGCCCATATTTGGTAGGAACACCTTTATTCTTCAACACAGCCTGAACTCGCTTAGATGGGAATTCTTGTAATGTCGTTAAATAATCATCAGTAATTGTTCTCTACGCTTCATGAGAGATATTCCAGAGCTCTTCTTTGGAGGCGGGTTTCCTTTAGTTCTGTTCT